GGCGACGCACCGGCCGGGCAGAGTCAGGATCAGTGTTGCATGCCCGTTGTCAGAGCATCAGAGGAGCACCCGACCCTTATTTACAGCGCCCTCCATTGGCAGCCGTGCCCGCCCCGTTTACAGATCTGGGAGATCCTGTTAGCGGTGTCCCTGGCCGACACAGGGTTAGGATTAGGGTCACCTCGTAGATGCCAGTGACACCCCTGCTGCCCCCTGGGGCAGAATCCCCCCGTGAAGGGTAACTGCGTGGCCCGGGGAGGGCCGTGGTGAGGGCTGCAGTGCCCTGGGCACGTGGGGCGTGGGGCTGCCCAGCCTCCTGCCGACCCTCCGCCAGCTTTGGAGAGGCTGGTCTCAGCATAGCAGGTCGCCGTGTCCCCTGGGGAGGACCCTGACCACCCCTGGCCCCCCAGAGCTGTGACCGAATCAAGCAGTCGGCCTCGGGGACCAAGCGCCGTGTGTTCATCGTGGAGACTATGGGAGGCTACTGTGGCTACCTGGCCACCGTGACCGGCATCGCCGTGGGGGCTGACGCTGCCTACATCTTCGAGGACCCTTTTAACATCCAAGAATTAAAGGTGAGCTGGACCCTTGGCCTTCTCCCACGGCAGGGCTGAGCAGGTCCCTCCTGGTATGGAGGCCGGGCCCGGCCAAGGAGCCGCAGCTCGGCAGGCTGGGCTCACTGCCTGTGAGGGGGCCTGGCCCGTGCCCCTGTGCCCCGTTCCTCCTGCAGTCCCCTCTGTCCATGCTGTGGCTTCCAAGGCCTCATCTCCCAGCACCCTCCTGCCCCCTGCAGGCCCCCGTCACTCTGGGCCAGGTTGGCTCCCCTGTCACTAGTCTGGACTATTCTTGCCCGGACAGCTGCCTCTGGCTACAGGGGGGCCGTGCTGGCTGTGCCCCGACCCTGCTCACCGTGTCCCCCCCCTGCAGGCCAACGTGGAGCACATGACAGAGAAGATGAAGACGGAGATCCAGAGGGGCCTGGTGCTTAGGTGAGGCTGCGGGGGCGCCGGCGGAGGAAGGTCTGCCCAGGCCTGGGCTGGGGCTTCCCGACACTGGCCTCGAGTGGGAACAGGTGGAGGGGCCTTGGAGAGGGTGCCAGGTCAGCATCCCCGAGGCTGGTGGCCTGGGCCGGCTGCCCCACTCGGTCCCCTCTCCCTCTTCCCAGAAACGAGAAGTGCCATGAGCACTACACCACGGACTTCCTGCACAACCTCTACTCCTCCGAGGGGAAGGGCGTCTTCGACTGCAGGACCAACGTCCTGGGCCACCTGCAGCAGGTGCGACGGGGGGCCGGACACAGCGGCATGAGGACCTGCTCCGTGCACCTGCCTGCCTGTGGGACACCTGGGGCGGGTCGTGGCTGCTTGTCCTCACACTCTGTCACTGAGCGGGGAGCCGTGCTCCTTGCTGAGGCCTCCCACCGCCCAGGCAGGGCAGGCGCGTCCCCGCCCGTCTCCGGCTCCTAGGAGCTGTGGGGTCCCAGTCCCCCCCGACGGCTGTGTGCCCCCAAGGGCGCCCCTCCGCTGGGGGATCCTTGCTCACTGGTCGTGGGACCTGCTGGACGCATAGGCACATGGGGGCCACCTCACCTGGTGACTGGTTCGCCCACTGCCTGGCCTCTGGAAGTGGTGTTGAGGCCAGATTGGAGGTGGAGGGGCCAGGGCGCTGCAGCAGAGGGGTGGGGTGTCCGAAGCTGCCTGAGAGCTCACCTGAGGTCTCAGTGGGGCCGAGTTTTGGGACTGGTGGGGACTGGGCCTCGGCTGGGCTCCCGGAGGGCTGGACCGTGGCCTCACCCACTGTGTTTCCAGGGCGGAGCTCCAACCCCATTCGACCGGAACTACGGGACCAAGCTGGGGGTGAAGGCCTTGCTCTGGATGTCCGAGAAGCTTCGGGCCGTGTACCGCAACGGTACGTGGGGGCGGCTCGGCCTGACCTGCCCTCTGCCGGGGCCGGGGGGGGGCTGCAGCTCTGCCTGTGTCCACAGGCCGGGTGTTCGCCAACGCGCCCGACTCGGCCTGCGTGATTGGCCTTCAGAAGAAGGCGGTGGCCTTCAGCCCCGTCACTGAGCTCAAGAAGGACACTGACTTTGAGTGAGTCTGCTGGGCCCAGACCCCCCGGCAGGTGTGCCGGGACGGGGGGGGGGGGCAGCCGGGCGTCAGGTGCGAGTGCACACGCTCACCCTCTGTCCCTGGGGAGGGTGCTGAGCCCGTCCTGTGTGCAGGCCCGGGCAGGACGGGGACCCCGGACACCACCGCCATGGGCCACTGGTGTCTGTGGCCGGGCAGGGTCCAGGGCTCAGAGGCCGGGGTGGTCCCAGGTGGGGGTGCGGCCGAGGTGCCCTGACCTCTGCCCGCCCTGCCTCAGGCACCGAATGCCCCGGGAGCAGTGGTGGCTGAACCTCCGGCTGATGCTGAAGATGCTGGCGCACTACCGCATCAGCATGGCGGACTACGTGTCCGGGGAGCTGGAGCACGTCACCCGGCGCACCCTGAGCATCGACAAGGGCTTCTGAGGCTGCCCGCCACCCTCCCGGGGCCTGGAGCCTGCGGGCAGGCCGGCGGTGGGCAGGCTGTGGCCCTCTCAGCCCCGCCCTGGGCACTTGGTGCCACCCTCCAGGACAGCACCCTGGGCATCCACCCTCCATCCCGGGGACCTGGGCATCTTAGTGTGGACACCACTCCCCTCCTCCTTGGACCCACATGCCGGCCCTTCGCCCCCACTGGCCTTGGGTCCAGCGCCTGAGTCTTCACGCCAAGGGCGCACCATGGGCCTCGCTGGACCCTGCTCCTTGCACTGGACGCTGGCGGAGCAGACCCTGTCCGTCTTGTAGAAATAAAGTCACCCCACAGTGGAGTGCTGTCGGTCTCTGGGAAGCAGGGCCCGGGGACTTTGTAGGGAGGTCGGGCCTGCTGGTGCTGGTGGAGGGGGTGGCTCTGGGGCTGTCCTCTGGCTCAGGGGCCAGGCTGGGTCTCGGAGACATGTCCCCCCAGAGCCACCCCACTTCCCAGGACCAGCAGGTCCCTCTCTGGTGATGGGGTGACCTGAGCTTCCCACCTCTGTCCTAAGGGGATGACCTAAGACCTCAGCCTTGTCCTGAGGGGTGACCTGAGCACCCCCTGCTCTGTCCTGAGAGGTGACCTGTGTGCCCTCAGCCCTGTCCCGAAAGGTGACAAGCCTGGCCTCCCCCAGGATGAGGATTTCGGAGCCTGGTTCCCAGGCTCCAAGTCTTATCGTGAACGGTCTCCTAGACATAGCCTTGACTTAGTCTGAGTCAAAGCCAAGGGTCCCGGGGCAGGTGGCCGACATGAGCAGAGTTGCTGAGAGACCCCGTGGGGGTGGGTCGCAGGAGGGGGAAGCAGCCAGTAACTTCATCCCCACGGGCCGTGGGCTGATCCACCTTAAGTTCGGAGCAGTGACGGCCTCGGCCCGCAGCGCGGTGCCGGCCCCCGGTGAGTGAACTGGACAGCGCCGAGGTGTGCTTTGCTGGACCTGTCCTGAGCTCACGACACTGACCAGGCCTTTTCCCGCAGCGGCTATCTGGGCAGAGTCCAGGGCCCCTCCGGCCCGCACTCCTGCCTTTGGGGGACCCACAGGCCACAAGGATGTGTATGGGAAAGGGCTGAGCAGAGGTCTCCTGGTTGGGCCTGGCTGTTGGCTCTGGGGACCAGGTTGGGCCCTTGATCCCTGACAGACCTGGCAGGGCACTGGGTCACTCCCGGGAACGTGGTTGGACTGGCCCTGTGTTGGGGCCACACAGTCTCCCCGTTGTCGGTCCCGCTCCCGAGCACTCCTGGGTGTTCCTCTCTGGAGCTGGGCCCCCGGGTCTGCAATGCCTGCTGTAGAGTGTGGGCTCTCCGGGCGGGCTACGGCGTGTCCCTCTGGGCCCGCCCCGTCCTGTGTGAACGGGCTCACAGGACACACTAATGCCAAGACCCATGGTGCTTGAGACCCCTGCCTTCAGGGCTGCTTGGGAAGTTGAGTGGGGACTGTCGTGCCCATCACAGACCAGAGGCCGTGGGTCCTGCATGAGGGCTCTGAAGGCCAGAGTGAGCGAGTGGCTGGAGCGGGGGACAGTGAGCTGACAGAGCCCCTGACCTGGCACGGGACCGTGGTGGGGGCAGTGGAGAGCCAAGGGGCTGGGGCAGGCAGCTCACCCTGAGCCCAGGTCTAGCGCCCCAGTGAGGCACCAGGCTGCGGGGCAGGCGGGAGCGGAGTCTGCGTGAGCCCCACCCGGAGTGGAGGGGGAGGGCGCTCCTAATCAACAGAACCACCCCAGCTCGTTCCAGCCAAGGCACAGGTTTATTGAGGGCGAGAAGGCACCCACACGGGCCTGGCAGCCACCCTCCCCGACGGCCCCGAGCCTCCGCCGCTCAGAGCTCACCCCCTGGTGCTGACGGACTGAGAGCTCACGGATGAAGCCCCGTCTCTGCTCCGGGCTTCCTGCCACCTGGCCTCCGGAGGCCTTGGGAACCGGCTGGCACCCCAGGGCGCTCCGCGGAGGAGAGCTGTCTTCCCCACGGGTGGCCCTCCACGGCTCCTGCCTCGCACACGGGGCTGCCACCTCTGGTTGGTGCGGCTCAGCAAGCGCCCTCCGCTCTCAGGGGGCGGACGGGCAGAGGGAACATGCTGTCTGCCCCTCCAGTCCGTCACTTCACCAGCCGTAGCACGAACTTCTCTAATGGCTGGGGGGTCACACTGCTCCCCTTCCATGGAGAGGCTTCCTGGGCTTTGGGGGCCCCAGGAGGGCCCCAGGGCTGCAGCTCACCACCAGGACACCGCAGCCCGGCGAGGCCTCGACTTCCCGAGGCGCCTTTCCCCACCAGCTGCTTCGCCGTGGCCACACCAGGACCTCCGAGGCCGCACGCAGGGTCCACACCCTCTGCTGAAGAGACTGAGGCAGGGCCTGTCTGTAGGGAGGCCACGATTCTGGAAGGCTCCCGAGGCCCAGAACCCACCCCTGACCGAGTCAGAGACTGGGGAGGGCGCCTGCCGACGGCCCTGACCCGTGCAGAGCGCCAAGGCCCGTCATCGGGAAACCTGCGTCCAGGTCCGACTTTGGAAAGTTTATTGGGGAGAGGGGCGGAGTCAAGGCGGCCGCCTGCACAGGAGGGTGAGGGAGCGGGTCTGTCCAGCCAGCGCCCGACACCCCTTCCACCGTCCCTGGGGCCACCCAAGCGAGAGCTCAGCCTTCCATGCGGCTGAGGCTCCTGAGGACGCAGCTCTGTGCTGGGACGAAGCCTAGGACCCAGCAGGGGCTGCGGCTGGGCAACCAGCCCCACCTCCCAGCGCTCAGGAAGACGATGGGACTTCAGCAAGGGTCCCACGGAGGAGCTGGCAGTGTGGGGTCCCCGCTGGGTCACTCCATGTCCTCCTGCAGCTCCTGCCTGTGCAGGGCCTGCAGCCGGCCGACCACAGTCTGGTGCACAACTTCCAGCTCCTCGGTGTCCAAGTCCCGCAGCAGCAGCAGGATGGCGGTCAGGACGTTGTTCTGGGGGCAAGAGTCCCTGGCTGAGGCCGACCCGCCAAGGCCGGGTGCCCCACACTATGACGTGCCCTGAGCCCTGACCAGCAGCACACCACGTCGTGGGGGGCTGGCCCTTCCGGCAACCAACAGACCACATGGATGGAGACTCGTGCAGCCCATGGTCCAGCCACAGCTCTGGTGTGGTGCTCACTTCCTTGGGGACTCCCTACATACCGTCTTGTGCTCACAGCCTGGAAGCCCAGAGTGGCCGAGTAACTGGCCTTCAGTCACACAGCTGGTCAGGGGTCAAACAGGCATGAGAAGCGGCTGTGTGGCCCAGGGTGACTCAGTAACATGCTCAAACACACATGCTCATGTGTGTCAGTGTCTACACTCAGTAACATGTGCTCACACACATGCTTGTGTGTCTACACTCAGTAACACGCTCAAACACGTAGATACTTGTGTGTCTCTGTCTACACTCAGTTTCCACCTGCATCCGAGCGAGGAAACTTGCCCCTTTCTGCCTCTGGGAAGGTTCATACCCAGGGCACCACGTGAATGGACCCCTCTTCCGAGAGGCCCGGAGTCACGGCCGTGGGATCAGGGCCTGCGCTGCGAGCCGTGGCTCAGGGTGCACTGCAACTTCGTGGGGCCCCACCTGAGACCCACACCTGGGTGCCAGCTGTCGGCCTCAGCCACACTCCTGGCTCCTGCTCCCCTCAAATCTCACCCGGCCCCGTCCCAGGGCCTCCCGCCATCTGCACCCTCGTCCCCAGGGACTTCCAGGGGGCTCGCTGCCCAGAGGAAGCCCAGGTGACCGGGACCGTCCGAGGCAGGTGGAGCCACGTGCCACGTCACCGCGGGCTGGGCCCTCCCTCCCCGCTCCTCAGAGGCAGGCCTGCTGTTTCGGCAGGTTCAGGGGTTTGGGTTTGCATGTGTGGAAGGCGCTGAGTCGAATCAGTGTTTCCAATCTCTGGTCCATTCTCCCAAGCTCCGCAGAGCCCCCAGACTGGGGAGGAGGAGGGAGCGTCAGGCCTCAGCCCCTGCGGGCAGACCTGCTCCCTGCCACTGTACGTACACTGGGTCCCCCTGCAACGTGTAGAAATGTGTATGGACCACCAGCTGGCTCCATGTGGCCACCTCGGTGAAGAGGAAAGCAAGTCCAGAGGAGACAGTGACCTGAGGGTGGGGACATGGGCCACAGGCCCAGCGACAGCTGCCTAGGCCAGCCTTCAGTCTGCAGTCACTTGTCCAGGGCTCTGAGGCTGGGCAGGCACCTTCTGAGGACGGGGCCTCAGTCCACCTGCCTCCCAGCTCTGCACTGAGTGGTCCCTGAACACGCGCACAGGGTGGCACGGGCGGCACGCGGACCCCTGGAAAGGACGGGGCTCTGGGGACAGTGCCCAGCTGCCCACACTTGTTAGAGCCACGACCCGTTATCCTGACGGGGAAGGCTCTGCAGCCACGGACCTGGTCACTGCGAGGTGACACGGCCCCACCCGGCCAGGACCGGGCGCCGTCCGTCCAGCTGCAGGCGGGAGGCCTCTGCACAGACAGGCAGCTCTGCGGGGAGGTGCGGCCACCATCGCTTTTCCAGCCCCACTGACACGGCCCCTGCACACAGTCCACGCCGGCAGCGGGCACGTGTGGCAGCTGCCCACGTCCCGGGGCCTGGCTTTGGTAGGGGCCTCCAGCCCTCGTCCCACTCCCGCAATTTCCACAGTCTGGGCAGAGGCAGCCAGCGGCCCCGTCACACTCACCCTGTGCTTGCGACTGCTCACCGCAGCCCTCTGGTCCCGGGCAGGGGGCTTCAGACTGAGCTGTCCCTGGACGCTGCTGGTGGGATGACAAGGGCGTGAGGGCTGAGCAGCCTGGCCCGTTTCTGCAGGGCCAACTCCCAGAGCCTCGGGGCAGTGAGGGAGACGCGGAGCGACGGTCCCCACACCCCCAGCACCAAGGCAGATGCCCAGCACGTGACAGCACTTCCGGAGGGACAGGAGCACCGGACACCAGAGGACACTGGGCGGGAGGATCAGAAGGTGCTCCTGCCCCCCTTTCTCTCTGACTCCCTGGGGCCGCCTTGTGCACCCCAGGCTCCTGCCCAGCCGGGGGTGGGGGGGTGGGGGGGTGGGGGGGGGTGGGGGCGGGGCACGGAACACAAACGAGAGGCAGGAGAACAGCACGTGCTCCGTCTGCCCAGCGCAGAGCCTGGCACCCACTGGAAGCGGCGGGCTCCACCGCGTCCCCACGTTCAGTTTCTGCTAAAAACGTCCATGGCAACCAGGAACTGTCCTCAGAGGCTGCCCTCCCCTGGCCTGGAGGCTCCTCCAGGTGCCTTCCCTCCACTAGCTGGCCCCCAGGTGCCCACTGACCCCCTCCCCCGAGTCCCACCTCCAGGCCACGCCGCGCAGGGCTGGTTCCACACCTGCACACAGGCTGTGCCTGGGCATCTCGGCCAGCAAGGGCGAGATGAGAAAGAACCACCCCGGGCAGCACTCTCCTCTCCCTCCGATGGGAGCCACAGCCGGGGTCCTCCGGGGGTGCACCCAGGACAGCCCATGGGCTCACCTTGCCTCCTCCTCGCCGTAGGTCAGCGGGTCCCCTTGGGTCTCAGCAGTGGTGTGCACGGCGCTCAGGGCATAGGACAGCTCGGGCCTGCCGTTCCCCGTGCCCTCTCTGCTGGGGGCTGTGACCTCCTCTCCCTCCAGCAGCGCTCGGGACAGTTCCTCCTCGGTCACAGCTTAGCGGGAAGAAGAGGGACAAAGCCTCAGAGTGGCCTCACTGCACGCGGGCCCCACGCGCCACGGCACTCAGCAGTCTGCCTTCGAGCAGAGGTGTCCGCCTGCCCCCCCACGGCCATTCCCCAGCCCTCGCGTGAGCTGGATACACAACAGCTGGCTAATGGCTGGTGAGTCAGATCTCCAACATTTCCCAACAAGTACTCATCAAAAAAACCTCAAGTGAAATTTTGAGAAGGAGCAGCATGCACTGCACTTGCTCCATTCGACTTAATTGCCCGGAGTCTATTTATATTAAAAGTGTTCATCTGGGAGGAAATATCGGCGCACACAAGACAAGGATAGGAGCCAGCACCCAGAATGCCGACAAGCCAGGAGAGGGCCCGGCGACCGGGCAGAGCCCCCGGGGCGGGGCACACAGGGCAGAGCTTGCCCGCGGGTCACAGGGGTGCAGGAGAAACCACACTCCCAGCAGGCAGAGGCGAACGCCAGGTAACCAGAGCTCACGGGACTCCTCACACGCGTGCCAGGCACGTGGATGAGTGTTTGGGGCAGAGTGGTCTTAACAGGAAAAAAGAAACCACCCAGTATGTGTCGACAGGGGGGTAGACAGAGGAGTTGTGCTGGGTTCACCCAAGATCCTGTGCTCTGCATGTGGGCTGCACCCCGTAATGGCTCACAGGGACACTTTGAAAGAAGCACAAACCCGGGGTCCTTCTGGGAGACGAGAGAAGGCATCTGCAGTGCCGAGAGGTCAGGGGCGCAGAGAGCGGTGGAGGCGCCCTGCGGGTGTGCTGGGCCGGGACGCCTACCCTGGTTGTCCAGCTTCTGCAGGTTGGGCAGGTTGCGCAGCACGGTCATGCGGTAGAGGTGGGGGTCGGCGCCGCAGCACGGGTTCTCGGCCAGCCACAGCACCCGCAGGCGCGGCAGGCCCTTCAGGTGGGAGAGCTCGGCGAGGCTGGCGATGCGGTTCCTCCGCAGGTACAGCTCGCTCAGCTGCTGGCACCGGCTCACGGGCTCCAGGGTCGACACGCTGTTGACGCTGCAGAGACAGCGCCTTGAGCCTCTGCCTGGTGTTATCTTGTATTACAGGGAGGGGAGCCGAGGCACAGAGGTCTGAACTTTGCCCCAGGTGGGCGAGCTGGGACTTAGCCTGGGCACAGCTGTAAGCCCATTCGTTCATTCACCCCACGAGAAGGCACCCGCCAAAGAGGCTTGGGCCAGGGCTAGGGGTGCTGTGGGCCATGGCGGGCAGCACGGGCATCCACCAGGCGACCGAGGAAGGCACAAAGGACGAACAGAGGGCTAGCAAGGGACAAACAGAGTGGCCAGCATGTGATCAGGAAGTTAAGTCACGGGTCTGCACGGGACCCAGGGCCTGTAGTGCCAGACCGCTCTGAACGGCCATACAGGGCCAGGCTGCCTTCCTGCAGAGCTCAGACCCGTCAGCTTTCACACGGGACCTGCAGAAAGCGTGCCCGTGTCAGAGCAGCAGGGCATTCGGGGCAGACCCTCCCAGCTCCCTGGCTGCCTGGAGTCCCAGTGACGGAGTTTGGTTCACTCAAGTTTCCCTTAGTCTGTTAAAATGCCAATGACTCAAAAACGGATAGCTCATCAATGACAGAGCAGGTGACACAAAGAAACTGGCAGAGTTCACAGCGGTGAAAGAACCAGGTCAGAAAAGGCTGGGGGGCTGGGGGTTGGGGGGCAGATGTGGCCACGGGGAGCATGGCGGCTCATCACTGGAGGGCTGCACCTCCTCACCTGCAGAGAAGGTGGGCAGGGGCAGCAGGGGGGAGGCTCCGGAAAGGAGCGTGGAGCTCGGGCGGAAGCAAGGCGCCAGCGGCCCTCCCAGACTTTCCTGGGGAGTTTTCGGTTTATCTAGGTTCCCGGCCTCTTTCAAGCCCCAGTGACTCAGAGTGACAGCAGGCGTGCAGGTACCTGAGGGTGATCACTTCCAGGCTGGGCATTTCCCGGCATATGGAGATCTAGGGAGGAAAAGAAGGTGGTGGCGAACACTGCTGGGCACGGGCGTTGTGACATCACTTCTGTCAGCCCAACAGAGAAACAGGTTGGAGCCACAGTCAAACCCACCTGCAGGGCCCCAGCGGATGGCCTCCCTCTCCTCCCTCCCCTCGCACTAACTACACAGGAGCACCAGGCTCTGCATCCCACTCCGCTCTACAGCCACGAGATGCCCTCGGCCGAAGGAGAAACGTGCTCTCTCAAACCCTCAGACAGCACCACTGCCATCAAACTGCTGGCCACCGGGACCGAGCAGTCCTCATTATGGAAGCCCTCCCAGGACATCAAGTAAGGGGACTTCAATGCCTCCTGTGCCGGACAGAGGACCTTTCCTCTGGCTGTCCGTGACCTAGAGGAAAAGGACTGAAGCCCTTCTTACCGACACAGCTGGGCCAAAGGGAGACAGGACTGAAAGTGGAATCTCAGATCGTAGTAATTCTGTTGATCAGTGGGAATGAGCAGCAAGGGACTCAGGTGGGTCCATCAAGCTCCCTAACCTATCAGGTTGTTGAGTGGCACAGCCCCCAAGTATCTAGTTGTCTGCCATTCACTGGGCATGAAGCCAGATGGTCCCTGCCCACAGCAAGCTCATGGTTTGGCCAGGATGCTTCATAGTGCAATGGCTTTGTTTTCTGCTACACTGGTGGTGGGTTTCCCCCCCCTGCTAAATATGCAGCTCTTTGGCCATTGCATGAAGTGGAATCAGCTTTTCTGGACAGTCCAGTGGCTCAGCAGCATTCCAACTTTGTTTTTAAGGAAAGGTACAGTTTAAGTTACAGAAGTAGATAAGAATGAATGACTGGCACGCAAACTCTGCACAAGTCGCGGGCATTCATTCCAGGACTAAGAGAGAAAGAAAAGAACGAATCTATTCACAGACCCACTCAGCTCTGCACACGGTCCCCCCGCCCCGGGGCCCATCTCTTCCTGCCGTTGGTGGGGGCATGAAGCTGGATGTGACCAAGAAGGGGAGCCGAAGTGAGGAACCTGCTCCTCGGTGACGTGAAGTCCAGGAACCCACAGAGACCCTCAGCTAGTGCACTTCTCTGGAAAGTAAGCCCAGCCTCCAGTTCCTCCCCAGGTCAGAGCAGGACTGTACTTGGATCTGTTCCCTCTTCTGTGAGACCTGCACGGACACAGGGGCCTCGCAGCGAATGTTTGAAGGAACTCCAAAATAAACGCGGGTGCTAGAGAATTTTTTATTCTTTAAATTAGTGGCCATGACTTCCAACAACTGCTAAATGAACAAAGCGCCAGACTGGGGCCTGAACTAAGTGGGTGCACTTCTGTCAACCTAATAATTCCCTTGTGGAAGAAGCTGCAACTTTGGGGATCAGGGATCAGCATAATACTTACATCTGTGAGGCGGCTGCCCCTGGGGAGAGAAAAGACACAGGGACTTTAATTCTCTAAAAGGTTAGTACAAAAAATTAAAAAAAAAAAAACCTCCAGAAATTAACAACACATGTTAAGATCCTATGATTACAATGACAACGTAAAAGCTTGACCAGATAAGTGACAACGATGTGAAAAAGCACTTCATGGTGATTTTCAACACAACCATGCATACATGTGGCGCCCGAGGGCTGCTTCTCAGACTGAGGAGCAGCAGAGGCTGTTCCATGTGGAGGACTCAAGATCGACTGGTTCTCAAGGCGGTGGCAGCAGGAGCGTCTCCCTCACCGATGTAAACAAACAAGGGAGTCTTTATAAGAGGCCAGTTCAAGGGCTAAACACGCAACTTACGAAAGAGTTTGGAGAGCCTGAAATAGGCTTGTTGTTTCTCCCTGCTTAAAGAAAAGTATGACCACCCTACGCAGAACAAAGAAATGCATTATTGAAAACGGATGACAGGGACGTGGTGGCCAAAGGAGCAGCTGTGCCAGAGCAAGGAGGAGAGCTTTTCAGTGAACAAGCAGAGCTCCTCCACGGCAGTCCATCTGCCGAAACCAGGCGGAGGAAGGTCTGCACAGTTCGCAGTCACCTGTGAAGCCCCACTGAGTCCCCAGTGAACACCTCTTCCAGGAGTTCAGGAAGTGCTTCTGGTCCTGCCTTGGAGCCTGCACTGACCCCACAGCACCTATATCCCACTGTCACCTCCCAGTGAGGCACCTGGGGACAGCTCCTGTCCCACAGGATTGTTACAAAAAAGACTACTAAATCATTGCTGAAGAGTCTGTTCTCTTTCTTTCCCCTACAAATGGTTTTAATCACCTTTAATCTCCTACCTTGTTGGCAGACTTAGTTCCCAATGACTGGCAATGTCAGAAATCAGACCCGTCCACTGGGGGAACCATCTACCCCACTAAGGCCATCCGGAAGCCCCATAATGAGACTTCAAGGTAATTCTAACTGTGGGTCTGAAGCACCACCCCTGGGGAGGGTGGGTGTGTGGGTATGGAAGTTCTGGAAGGGCCTCTGCCAATGGCCACCTGAGCTGGAGGCAGCACCGCCCAGCGGCTGTGGGCCCCTGGGCCCGGAGGGCCGGCCTGGGACAGGCGCCAGGAAGGCTGGAGATGCCCTCGTCCACTCCAGCGGGTTCCTTCACAGGCCGTTCTCGACCCCGCCTCAGCGCGGAGATGTCGGCTGAGGGCCCCATGCCAGGGCAGAGGTGCCGAGGGGGCCCCATCCCGGGAAGGGGGTGGCAGGCGGGGGTCCCCGCTCCAGGGCAGGGGTGCGGGCAGCGTGGAGGCCCCCGGCTCCTGGGCCTCACCAGCAGTTGAGCTTTCTCACGTTGTTCAGCTCCGAGGCCTTGGCCCGGGAAAGGACCATCTTGCGCGTCAACTTCATGGCGATGGGCCACCGTGACCCCAGCCACCAGCCCGGCCCCGGACCCGCCAGCTACCCTGGAGAATTTCGGCTCCGCCGCGGCGCGTCTCCAGGGGGCGGGGCCTGCGTCGTCAGGGCGGGTTCTGTAACCCCATTGGCCTCCTGGTGAAGGGGCGGGGCGGCGCGAGCGCAGTGGAGCCGCCTTGGATTCCACGCCCCGCAGCGGCCCCGCTTTCCAGACCCTCCAGTCGAGCGCCGGGTCCTGCGCAGGCGCGGCCTGGGGACGCCAGGCTCTGACGTCATTCTGCGGCGACCCAAGATGGAAACTCTTCAGTCCTGAGTCCCGAGCCCTAGCACTGACTCTCGATCACTCCGGAGCCCCGACCTCCGATCCCCCATTCCCCAGCTCCCCACCCCCAGCCCGAGTCCGGAGTTCCAGCCCTGAGCTCCCGCCGGATCAGCTCCAGTCCCCGCCCGAGCAGTAGAGACAATGTTCTCTAAACTGAATTACAATGTATACTGTTGAAATAAGACCTCTAGAACATCCCTAGGGCTGTGTTGATTTCCTCTCTCCCTCCCTTTCAGCATTTATGGAAATGGGGCAGGTGCCAAAGACATAGGGCCAGTCCTAGCGGAGACCTCACAAGTATTTAAACCTTTTAGAAATTACAGGTTACCTGGGCTGCAAATTGCATTGACAGGCTTTTGGGGTATCAGATGAGTTAGGGGTGACAAGACTAAGCTCTAAGACCTCCTTTTGTGCTGACATGTTCATAACCCCATAGCTGATGATTGGTAAATTATCGTGCTGACTTGTTTATAGCTCAATAATTGATGATTGGGAAAGTCACTGTGTGCCCTCTAGCTGAACCTCTTTTGTAAAAAGTTTAATCAACAGTATAGAGATCAAAATAAGCTGGAATACTCCCTGAATCAAGAAGTTGTAGGGAACCGGCTACCTGTCTGACAGAGTCCACAGAGCCTGGAGGTCTTGAATCAGAGACTCGACCTCCCCCACAATCTCAAGGAATTAGGCTTGCATTGTGTTTGTGTAGCTCGGGCCTAAGTGTGACCCAATGTACCTTGAAATACCTGGGTGGGCCTGGGTGGGCCTGTTATCTGCAAGGCAAACTAATTCTATAGAACATTGTTTTTTTTGTGTGTTTTTTTTTATAATGTTGTTCAGATAGAGTGGGAGAAAGAGAGAGAGAGAAACATCGAGTGGTTGCCACCCACACAACCCAGCCAGGGCCGGGGACAAACTGCAACCGAGGTACATGCCCTTAGTGGGAACTGAACCCAGGTCTCTCCAGACCACAGGCCAATGCTCTAACCACTGAGCAAAACCGGCCAGGGCTATAGAGCATTGTTGTAGCCCTGGACATTATATCAAGAAGATCCGTCCTGGCCAGTTTCACTCAGCGGTTAGAGCGTCGACCTGCGGTCCAGAGAGACCGAGTTCGGTTCCTGCCAAGGGCACGTACCTTGGTTGCAGTTTGTCCCCGGCCCTGGTTTGGCCATGTGGGTGGCAGCCACTCGATGCGTCCCTTTCACATCGATGTTTTTTTTTCTCTCTCTCTCTTCCTCACTCTCCTTCCCACTCTATCTGAACAAAAAAAAAAAAAGAACATCCTATTTTCTTATATCATTAAACTTTTGCTGTAAGGTATAAAAGGCATGTAATAACGCATATTGAGGCTGATCTCCGAAGACTCTGTCACAGGGGTGTTTGGAATCAGATGCTGGCCGGCTAATAAATGGCTCTTATTTGGACTTCAGTTCTCTAGTGGTCTTTCTTTGACTCTGTCACACCACAACACTGTCCCCTAGCCCCTTGTCCTGGCTTTGGTCTGCCAGTCAGAGCTCTCAAACAGACACAAGCTTTAGTTGCAGCTTCGTGGGGACCTGTCTCCTATTGGTAGGAGAGAATGGTGCTTGTGTTGGGAGCCTGCAGTCACAGAAAGTCAAGGTTTTGGTGGTGGCTTGCAGGGGCACTGTGGGTCCATCACAGGGAGGAAACAGTCCAGGAATATGATGGCCTGAATCCTGCAGAATGAGGAAGGGTGCATGCTCAGGGTGGAGATAAGTGGTTGTTGGGTCAGTGAACGTTTTTGGAGAATGGGGCATCTTGGAGTGGTGCACCAAGTTCTTGGAAGGGTACATGCTCAGGGTGGAGATAAGTGGTTGTTGGGTCAGTGAACGTTTTTGGAGAATGGGGCATCTTGGAGTGGTGCGTACCAAGTTCTTAGCTGGCAAGTAGGCAGAGAACCATCTGACTAATGAGGCTTGAGCTAACAAAATATTGACACTGAGCTCAGCCACATGTAGAGTGGCAGGAAGCTTTTGGCAGGCGCTTGCAGAGGAACTCTGGCTGTCCCAACTGGGGGACCATGTCAAGTGCCAGGAACTGTGGAGAGTGAGCTGGGCCAACAGGTGGTGCAGAAGCATCCAGAGAGACTGTTCAAGGTACAGATAAGGATGCTGCTGGCAGACAGAAGAAAGCAAGCATGATTCTGGGGAGGTCAGGCAGGCACATGACAGGTGCCTTTGGGCTGGCGGCTGATGGGAAGAGGGCTTTAGGGTTGTTGGTCCCAGGCTTGACCCTATCTAGCAGAGATGGTCCCTTCTCCTTCTACATGGATTGATGTGGCCCGGGAGAAAGGACCAGTCAGGTTCTCAGCAAACCATACCAGGGAGGGCTGTGGCCCAGGCCCCAGCTCTCTAGTCTTGCCTGTCATGAGAAGTGGCGTCTGCCCCCTGTGTCTTGACAGTGCCAAAGCGGGTGGCCTCCCTGCGAGAGGGCTGAGCCTGGAGGGTTTTGTGTAGGTGATGGGGGTGAGGGAGAGAGGCGTGGAGACCCTGTAGGTCGGCCAGAATGGGTCAAGGACTTGAATTCAGGGTGTGTGATTTCCCAGCACAGAGGAATCACTGGAGAACAGGGACCACTTCCCCTGCGTCCGAGTGGCCTGGGCATCTGGCAGGAAACATCTGCTTCTCTTCTTGGCTGAAGTTGGGGATGGGCTCCTGTTAGGCCCCCTCATGGAGAGGAGGAGGAAGACACAGATTTGCTCACATGGGCGGGTTGAGCGGATGGTCAGGTGTTAATTAGTTGAAGGTCCTGGTGATTCAGGTGACATTTGTAAAGTGAGGACTCTGCACAGCAAGTCCAAGTGTGGTGGTTTGGGGTGCGTTGCTGTCCCTTTCCCAGAACCCCCTCCCTGCGTAGCTCCAGGGTCTTGTCACAAAGAGAAACTGGCCAGTGCTCTGGGAGGTGGAAGAGGAGCAGCGGCCATCATTCCCCAAAGGCCATCCTGGTCAGATGGGGCAGATGGACAAACTGGGTGGGCGTTCTTCCCTGTAGCATGCGCTCTTCCCAACAGCGGCCCTGCCTGGGGTACTGCTCGGTGACCCCCTTTTCCAACTTCTTTTGGATGTCTAAGTCCTGAGCTCTTTCCACAGCTGTGTAAAGTCAAATTATGAGAATATATTTTGTTTCATAATTCTCACAAGGGTTTTGCTTCCCTAAATGAACCCCGAGAGACAGAAGTGCAGCCAAACTTCCTCAAATCAAAACCGAAACATTGGCTCACGTAGCCGAGAAGCCAAGGGTATGGTTTCAAGCATGGCTTGATCCAGGGTCTCTGTCTTCCACCCACCCTGACCCCTCCAGGTGCTGAAACTAGGTGCTCCACACCCTGGCTGCACCCTGACAGCGTCAAGTCCAGTGGAAGGATGCTTTCTCCCAGTGCGTCGGGTGCAAGTTTGGGGATTGGCCTGGCTTGGGTCCCGTGCCACTAGAACCCGCGGCTGGCTGCGCAATGCCCGACTACTGGCCGAGAGTGGAGGAGACCCAGAGGAACATCCGAGAAGAAGGGGAAACACGGCTGTTTCTGGGCCTTAGTGGCCATGGGAAAGGTGACCGCCATGCCCTCTCCTGGTGTCCTCTGCTCAGACTCTGTCATTCCAGCGGAGACTTCCCTCTCCAGTAGTTGCTCTGGGGCTTCCTTTCAAAGAGTTCCCATGTGGACGGTGCCCTGGGGTTCTCACTGTGGCGCTGAGGACCTGTGCTCTCTCTCTCTCTCTTTTTAAAGTAAGTTAGCATCTCTAAAGGCCTTGCCATCTGAATCCAGTTTGAATCCAGGTGAGTTTCTGCCAACACCGAGTGCCCAGGCCTGCAGGGCTCCCCTAAACCTCCTACGCCGCATTTCCTCTATGGGCTTCTCCTCTTTGAAGCCCCCGGGACTATAGGGAGATGGGGGGCGCTCCTTGTTGCCAGTCAGCCTGCAGGGTTCTGGGCCCCTGTGCAGTTTGGGTGATGGCGCTGCTCCAGCAGGGTTGCCTGGACCCAGGGAATGGCCTGCTCTCCTCTTGCTGCCTCTGCCAGTCACTGGGAGGGGCACAAAGGCAGTCCCTGTGGCTCAGTGCGCACAGCTCCATGGGCCACCTGGCCTCGGAGCGCCTGCTTGGCCGGACACAGCCCGGAGCTGCTGGTCCGAAGTGAGCAGAACTGTGCCCTCTGCAGTTGGGCCGACCAACACTCCCAGGGCTTAAAGGGGTGGCAGGGGGGTTTCTAGCAATGACCCCAGGGGTGCTGGTACAGGAGAGGGCGCCACTGGGGCCCAGCGAGCAAAGGTGTTCTGACCAACAGTGCCCACTCACCTCCGCCCAGACCCTGCTCTGGGCCTCCCCTTTGCTCCCTCACTCCACCCCCCACCAGGTGACCTTGTTCAGGCCATAGCACCTGATCTTTCCAACTATACAGGTGAATCGTCAGTGGCTGTGTCACAACCAGCCCCTACTTAGTAGCTCAGAACAAGAGACGTTTATCATCTCAGTTTCTGAGGGTCGGGAGCCTGGGAGCGGCTGGGCTGGGGGGCCTGGCTGGGGGCCTGGCTAGGGGCCTCTCATGACGTCGGGCTGTGGGCCAGTCCGCCACTTCTGATACCCTGAGTGGGGTGTTTGAAGCTCATTCAGGTAGCTGTGGGCAGGGTTTTTTGTTTGTTTGTTTGTTTGTTTTTAACGCCTTAATTTTCAACTTCATGCAAAATAAATAAAGATGACCAAAACAAAAGCTTAAACAATGGAAGGCA